TATCTATGTTGCTCATCCTCTGTTTTGTATTTTCCATCTTTTGTATTTTCATGTTCACTCTGGATAATTTCTTGTCTTCCAGTTCACTAATTCTCTGTCAACTTTGTCTAGTCTACTGTTCTATCCACTCATTGAGTTTAAATTTTCATGTATTATATTTTTTATTTTACAACTATTATTTTTATTTTCAAATCTTTATTTTTCATAGTTTCTTGTTCTTGATATTTTCAAGTTTGCCTTTGATTACTTTAAACTGTTTTATTATCTATAGATGATAATTCCAATTTCCGAAGTGTTTGAGGATCCTTTTCTACTGTCCCTTGTTTTTGCTGGTTCCCATGGAGTTTAGTTTCTTTAGGCCCTGTTAATTTTTTACTGTGTGCTGGACCTTGTATTTGAAAAATCATAGTCATAATTTGAGGCCTATAATGAAAGTATTTTGCTCCAGAGAAAATTTGCATTTGCTTCTACCAAGCCCTGAAAGACACTGTAAGTCCAGGATCAATTTAAACCAAACTTTCCAGGTTGGGATTCCTGGGTGACTCAAACTGAGCTTTAATTTTATGTAGACTCTTCCACTCAGGTTCACCTTCACCCTGAGGGTGAAGCTCATTGAAATCTCAGTTTTTTTTGTGGGGAGTATCTCCAGTTAGACTCTGTAACTGAAGTGGGCCTTGGCCTTTGATTTCTGTTCATTTGCTTTTGAAAGGCAGTCAAAACAAAGGTTTCAATTTCCTAGGATAGGGCAGATAACCCCAAGGTAAAAATGGCTACCTACCACACTTGCTAAGCTGGCCAGGCTCCCATTTTTCCTTTACTTTGGCCTAGTAATTCCGTACTATTTCGTTACCTCTTTGATGCTTTTTAGGAAGGTACAGATATAGATATAGATATAGATATAGATATAGATATTTTTTTAGTATTTTATTCAGTTTGTTTGTTTTTGTTCAGCATTAGATAACTTAATCTGCCAGTACTAGAAACATGATCTAATCCCCCTCTTCTTATACTTCAAAATAGTTTGTAAGGTTAGATTTAATGTATTTCTTGAATACTTGATATTTGATTACTGACTTTGTTTCTTTAATATTTATAGAAATATTTAGGCTTTCTATTTATTCTTGAATTTTTTTGGTGCTCTCTCTATATATATATTTAGTCTATATTTTGTAATCTGTTGACTTAAAGTTGTTCATAATTTTAACCTTTTAATGTCCATGGCATTTTTTCTACTTTTTCATTCTGGATATTATTCATTTGTGTCATCCTCTCATCCTCTTTTTTTAAAACCGTCTTACTTGTGGTTTAATTGAATATATTTTCCAGAGAATTAACTTTTGGCTTTGTTGATCTTTTTTAATTTCTATTTTTTTCCTTCCTGTACTTTATTTCCTTCCTTATGTTGCTTTATTCTGCTGTTCTTTAAAAAAATCTTCTTAACATGAATGCTTACTTGTTCATTTTCTCAGCCTTCTCTTCTAAATTTCTCCGTAAGTACTGATCCTGTAACTTATCCTGTGTGATAGTTTCTTTATTGTTTGGTTCTGAATAATACTGTTTTTTTATATAATTACTCTTTGATCTCCTGGGTTATTTCCAAACTATAGGGTGTTTTTTATTATTGATTTATAGCTTATCTGTTTGTGATTAGAGAGCAGGGTCTTTTTTAAAAATTACTTATGTATATGTATTCCACCCACCTTTTTGTTTTGAAATATTTCTACTTAAAGAAATGTTGCTTGAATAGTAAGTATAATGAATACACTAAGATTCACCAGTTGACATTTTTGCTGCATTGTCTGTTGTCTCTCTGCACCTCTCTATCTCTCTCTTTCCCCACCACTCCCTTTTCTCTTTCTTCTTGTCCCATCCCCATCATTTGAGAGTTTCTTGTGGACATTGTGAGAGAATATGCTATTTTTATTATTCAAATTTTTTGAAAATTATTCAGACTTATGCCTTAATATATGGTCAGGTTTTCTAAACATTTCATGTGTGCTTGAAAATACATGTTTTATAGTGGCTTGGTGCAATTTTGTTTGAGTATTTCTTTTTGTGTCTAGTTTGTTAACTATGCTGTTTAAATCATTATGTTCTTTTTTATTTTCTTCTGTTAAAATCTCACTGAGTATGGATTTGTCTGTTTCTCTTGTAGTCTGTCAGATTTTGCTTTATACATTTTGAGGTTATTAGATGCATATAATTTAAAAAATTGCTGTACCTTTCCTGGTAAACTGAATGTCTTATCCTTGTGATTACTCTCTTTATCTCTTATAAGGCTTTTTGCCTTAGAGTCTATTTTTGCCTATATTGCTAGATCTATATTAGTCTTTATTTTGCATTCTTTTTTTAGTGAAGTATAGTCAGTTTACAGTGTTGAGTCAATTTCTAGTGTACAGCATGTTTCAATCAAGCATTTTTTTAGATAGAGTTTCCCTGACAAATATTTTTCTAACCTTTTTACTCCAACCATTATATATTTGCCTTTTAGCTGGAACATTAATTTAATTTATTCATAGCTGAATCTATGTCTTAACTTTCTATCTTATTTTGTCTTGCCTATTCAGTGTTTATTTTCTTCTTTCTTGTCATATTTTAGATTTACTATTTTTTCCTCGTTCCACTTTTTTCAAATAGCTTGGGTGTTTCAGTGGAGAGAGGTGCCATTAACTCAGGCAGGAAATACAGCAAAAGAAGGTTTTAGGGTAGAAAAACAAATGAGCTCACTTTTAGATGTGTTTTATTTGAGCTATTCGGTAGATTTCTGGGTATATGGGCTTAAAGCTTAGAAGAAAGTCCAGTTTAAAGAGAGAGATTTACAAAGGGTTTTAAGGTATATATGGTAGCAAAAAAAAAACATGGCCTAAAAGCATCAGTGATGCAGAATGGTAGGATATGGTCAGAAAGAAAACTGAGGCCAGAACTCAAGGAATCATTTGGCTTTGATGGGCAGCTGGAGGAGAAGCAATCAGCCAAGACTGAGGAACAGTCGGACAGGATGAGATGCAGGGCTGCTGGTCCCATGGGAGTGAAGGGAAAAATG